CAAAACATTTCCCCTGAAAGCAGTTAATAGATAACCTGCACGACTCCACTGTTAACAATAAAAGTATGATATTCAGGGGCAAGACAATACAGAACTAATTTGAGATGGAGAGAATATATTTTAAATTAAATAAATTATAAATATGATTAAAAATTGCAGCCCGGCATTGTGACGAAATCACAATTAATTGCTTGTTTTACTTTATTTTTTATTTTCTGTAAATAGTTTTTTAATTTAATGTAAATTTTTTTTATAAAAAATTTGAAAGCATTCGCATCTAAAAAAATTGTGTGTTCATTTTCAATATATTTAAAACAAATTATTCAGGTAATAACGAATATAAATATACACGGATCAAAAATACTCCAGTAACTGTTACATGTTAATTTTTACGTCTAATTTTTGTTTATCACAGAATAGTAATTTTATTAATTTACCTTGATCTCTATTTGTATTCTAAACTTTTCTCAAGTGTAATTTTGAATAATCTTCACCAGTCATTAAAGACAAAAAAGACAACGAAACGAGGACCAATCTTTGGAAAGGTAGCCCAATATTCTGTTGGCCGAATAAATCTAATCTAAATGCTGCCAACAAATATAAATAATGGCTAACAGTAAGAACAAAATTTTAAATTAATTTAATTTAGTTTTCAATTAAATAATTTCATATTAGCACTTTATCATACTCAAGTATAGACTCTGATACGTTTCATTGTATATTGATATACTGTATTTACGTAAACTTTTTGGAATTCTTCTAATTTACATTTTTATATTAAATTAAAATAATTATAGTAATACCAACAACATAATAACAATAGAATTTAATTCATGATTATAGCTTATATTTCATTTGCAGAGTGGTGCGAACGCACAAGGACCCGCGATCCTGCACGATCCGACTCTTGAGAAATTTAAAAATTGATCATTTAATTATTGGCTATTCTGTTTACCATATGAAAATTATTTTGTTGTTCGAAACTGTTTATTATTATTATTATTAAAAGGACTCCGCCTTTTCTTGGGCCGGCCATGGATACAATGATACTATTAAGTTAAAGATAACTACGAAATACCTTGCACAATCAAACAGTAAATTAGTAAATTTTGATAAAAGTCGATTTTAGAAAAGATAAGTAACAATTTTATATTTTTACACAAAACACAATAAGAGATAATGGAGTATAAACTATTTTTAAACACATTGTTATTTAATTTTACAAACTTAACTCACTTTCTTGATTTGTTCAACCTTATAAAAACCTTGACTGCATAAAAACAATAAAAGGTTTATTAATTCCAAAATATCCAATCTGCTTTTCTTCCTCTTCTTTTATAAATCAAAATCATTTAAACTGTTAAAGAGCTGATGACACAGTTACAGTGAGGGACTAGGCAGACTTGGGTAGGAGTAACCTAGATGACTTAGCTCTATTGGATATTAGAGATGTATATGAATACGAATCGTACAAGCAAAAAAAAAAGAAAAAAAATCGACAGGTTGCGCACGATATTCCCGGACAAAATTAATACTTCACCCGGAAGTAAGTCGATTCCCGGACTGTCCGGGTGAAAACCGAACGGGTGGTAACACTATTCCGTGCTCATTTCAATCGGTCCGAATCATAGGTGGAGAAAAATATGAAATAAAATGGTTCAAACTTTTACAAGATATTATTATTATTATTTATTGTGAAATTTTGCCGCCCCCTAAAAGTGTCGCCCCCACTATGCTACGCCACTGTCATAAACAGTTTACTATAAAGAATCGGTAAGTAGATTTATTTCAAAAATTTTTTACTATTTATTCTCTTATTGGTCAAATATNATCGGTAAAAAGAATAATAATAGTAGTAAATATATTATTCCTTCTAAGTATTTTTGCTTCTTGTCTCTAATTAATGTATCTTAATGTGGCCTAAATTTAGCTAATTTTCAGACTTATCACACCTTGTAGGTCAAATTATGAAATCTGAGTCAGAGATCAGATCCAAAAATTATTACGCTTTTATTGACATTTCAAATGCATTTTGAACTTATAGTCCCTCATCAGTCTATGCAAGATGGTTGGAACTGATGAGTGACTAAGTCTGGAATGCATTTCCAATGTCAATAAAAATATAATAAGTTTTGGATCTGATCTCTGACTCAGTTTTCATTTGATAAGTCTGAAAATTAGCCAAACTTAGGCCACATGAAAATAAAGAAATATATTATTATTAACTTAATAATTAAACTTATTTATGTTTATAAAAAATGTTAATTTATAGCTATAAATTAGTGTAAAAGATGTTAAAAGTAATTAGTTAGACATCTATTATCAAAATCAAATCCTATTTTCTATTGAAATGCAAAGAAAAACTTGTTTCCAATCTATTACATTTTTCAAATGATAAAATTTCTGTCATTGCTTAACCAAAGTAAATTTTCCTTACAGGATCTGTCTTATTTGTTATATATATAAAGCTGAAAATCCTAACTTTTTTAATATTTTTTCCTCTTTCTGTCTATATTTGGTCTTTTGAAAGAATATAAAATACAGAATATATGTCATAAAAATAATAAATTATTTTTTTTACAAAAGAAATCATTTATATAATGAATAGAAGAACTATATCATAATAAAATAAATATTGTAACATATTTTTATATTGATATGAAATTTATGATATAGCTTATATATCATAATTTATATCAAATATTTATTTGTATATTATTTTATAATTATTAGACAAAGTGATCAGCTTCCAGTTTGAACAAATGTGGAATATGCCATTATTACATTATTCATTTTTTAACATTTCTTATAGCTACTAGTTATTTATAATACTTACAAGGAGACCTTATGGTCTCGGAAATTCAGTTCGGGATGAGACTTTGCAGGTTAGTAGTATACCTCAAGGGTAGTATACTCAGAAGAATTGTAAAGCGCACTAGCCAGAAGATTCCGAGAAAAAAGGCTCTAAAGTTTTAAGTGCAGCTCATATACTGATCGATTTTATACTATGGCAGCACAGTGAAATGGCTGAGTCTGTAGCAAACTCACTTGCCATGTGGGCAATCTAGTTCGATCCTACCTTCGGCGAACTTTTTTTTTTTTTTTAAATTGTAACAAGTTCGCTGAAAGTAGGATTGAACCTAGATCGCCCGCGTGGCAAGCGAGTTCGCTACAGACTCAGCCATTTCGCTGTGCTGCCATAGTGTAATATCGATCAAGATATGAGCTGCACTTAAAACTTTAGAGCCTTTTTTCTCAGAATCTTCTGGCTAGTGCACTTTACAATTCTTCTGGGTGGACACCCTTGAGGTATACTACTAACCTGCAAAGTCTCATCCCGAACTGAATTTCCGTAACCATAAGATCCCCTAGTTAGTTATATAACTAATATTTAGTGTTAACTAGTATAATAGTTTAACATTAAACTTAAATGAACTCTAAATCTCACAGCTGCTTATATATTAGTAAATAACACCAACAAAAACTTCAAAATTAAACCAGCAAATATATTTTAATATAAATATGCTATGACAAGTGATTTCGATCCTAATTGGGATCTGCTTCAGGTCAAAACATTCAATAAAAAATTAGAATGCTCTAATTTTTTATTGAAAAACAATGCTATTTGTGTCAGGTACACCTTTAGATTTCTCAGTCAAAGGTGCACTGAACACAAAGGAGGCTCTGTTAATTCTATATTTCTTCATACAACTTTCCAGTAGCAAGGTAGATTGGAAAGCAGCCAAAATCATCAGAATTGCCTCTCACTCCAAAAAATTAGATTTTGATAAAAAATTAGATTGCTCTAATTTTTTATCAAACATTTATCTATCATTGTAATTTTTTATCAAACATTTTGACATGAAACAGATCCCTATAATATAAATATGCTATTATTTATATCATCATATATTTGCTAATTTAATTTTGAAGGTTTTGCTGGTGTTAAATGAATTATCAAACACAAATACAGTATGTATGTATAAAAAGTATTTTATCGCCAGCAAACAATTGATATATCCAACATATCCTTTTAATAACCATGTTTCATATATAAAAAATTATTTAGAAAATTAATGATTTAATTAATGAAATGAGGAAATGACCTTTGTCATAAATGCCATACTTTTGTAGTTTTCATTTTTATCATTTGAAATAAATAACTATAAAATATGAAAATTATTATTATTTTAATGAATAATTTAGACATTTTATTTACTAGTATACCTTTTCTTCTTTAACATATATAATACTGAAAAACTGATTCTTTCACTTTGTTGAACTTCTGGTTTACATCTGGTCTGTTTTCTATTTTTTTATTTTGTACTTTTTTAACTTCAATAATAATAATAATAGTAGTAAATATATTATTCCTTCTAAGTATTTTTGCTTCTTGTCTCTAATTAATGTATCTTAATGTGGCCTAAATTTAGCTAATTTTCAGACTTATCACACCTTGTAGGTCAAATTATGAAATCTGAGTCAGAGATCAGATCCAAAAATTATTACGCTTTTATTGACATTTCAAATGCATTTTGAACTTATAGTCCCTCATCAGTCTATGCAAGATGGTTGGAACTGATGAGTGACTAAGTCTGGAATGCATTTCCAATGTCAATAAAAATATAATAAGTTTTGGATCTGATCTCTGACTCAGTTTTCATTTGATAAGTCTGAAAATTAGCCAAACTTAGGCCACATGAAAATAAAGAAATATATTATTATTAACTTAATAATTAANCAATTATTAACAATTTTTAAACTATAATAATCTGTCATAAAAATATTCTTAAATTTTAGGCAATTTGTTTTTTTTTGGTTTAAATGAAAGTACTATCATAATTTATAGTGTAAAGAAACAATAAAGTTAACAGATATTACTTATAACTATTCTTATAACAATAAACTGTTTTAAAAATATAGATTAATTCATTTAATTAAGAAGTAATTCTTTTAAATCAAAACTAAGAAAACAGGATAAAATCTAATTTATACTGTGTTAACAATTATTTAAACAATTTTCTTCAATTAAGACAAATTTAAGCTTTGATCAAAAAATATTCCTTTTCATTTTAATTTGGTCCCGATTATGGGAAATAACTTGTGCTGTATATTTGTAAATAGAAGTAAAATAGTTTTAAAGATCACACATGTCAGATCTAAATTATAATCATAATGGTAATAATAGCTTACAGAACTAAACTCTGTAGATATTATATACATAAGCACTGCATTCGAATGTGTCAATAGCAAATCTATTATAATATAAATATAGCTATTTTTTATAATTCTATTCTGTTTATCAACTATGTAAGATATGTAACCATCACTAAAATTCTTAAATTCAATAAATAGTAAGAAATATTGTACAGACTATAATACATACTAGTAAGTAAGTTACATTATATTGTTTTAAATATTATATGGAATATACTATAACTAAATAATATAAAATAACTTTAAGGCTTCAGTACAACAAAAAAAAAAAAGTTCTCAAGCAAAAACTAATATCAAAGTTTTTGGAATGTTAAGTTATAACAAAAAAATTTAAATACATAATTATTTATATTTAGTTACACATACATACATCAAATGGATTTTAAAATTATTACTACTGCATTCTTATGTGGTTATAATATACATAAAATAATACATGCTTGCTGTGTTGTATTTCTATCATCTCTTGGGCTTTCTTCATTTATAAACTTGAAGTCTTTGCACAGGATGTATTCATGCTACTTGATTTAATATTTAAACAATTCCATGAAAAATTCATTTTTTCATTCTCCAATTTTTTCAGGTATGGAATGTTCAAATAAATGTAAAGCTTGATGAACAAATTCATACTGTTCAGCTGTCTGTACCATTCCACCTCTAAAATAATTATTATTTATTAGATATTTTAAATATGAGCATCAAAATAAATAATGAGTGTAGTAATATCTTTCTTAATCTCTCAAATTTGTAAAATTTGTAAATTATTAGAATGAATATTAAAAAAAAAAAAGCTTGAATTTCTACCTTCAAAATAAAAAGTGTATCAAAAAATTAACTTTATACTCAATGGCTGAAATTGTTTTTTTTTTTTGTGTACAAATATCCCTTGCTTAACATGGTATTTGATGAACATGTGAAATTAATTGTGGTGATCCCTTTATATATGTGGCAGAAGTTTTAATTTATGTGGCTTTACTAGCTGTATTTACTTAACACAAATACTGAGTTTTGATTAACTTGATTTTGATATATGTGGTAGGATCAAGGGATTCATTAACTGCATTAATCAAGGGATACGTGTAATATAATGTTTTAAGAAAAATATTAAAATACTGCAATTTAATTGTTTCACTTTAGAATCATTCTTTTTGCAATCAGCAAGTTAATCATAAAAATGCTTATTATAATAAAATATTTAAGAAACATGACTTATTTTTAATATTCTAACTGTATATTCTAAATAATTGAATACAGGCATACCTCGACTTACGTCGTTTTCCTGGAACCAATTACCGACGTAAGGCGAGGTATACCTGTATTAGTTATGAATATTAAAAATAATGAGTTTTCTATATATATAAAGGTTGCCCAAACGAAAAGTGGACACACATCAGAACCTCAAACATTTATTGCAAATCTAAAAGAAATGTCCATATTTATTTAAGATCCCAGATGCTCAAAGCAGGTTGATGCCATGACAGTTTTTCGATAACATTCTGAGTTAATCATTGTGTGTGGCATAAAGTCAACCAACGACAATCCAAGGCAGTTGAAAAAAGAAATGCAAAGTTTTCGACCAAAGACTAATATATAACAAATATTTATTGTGACAACATCACAATGCCAGGCTGCAATTTTTAATCATATTTTTTAATTCATTTAATTTAAAATATATGCTCTCCACCTTTTAAATTAGTAGTCTTGCCCCTATATATCACAGTTTTCCTTTAGCAATCAAGTTGTGCCGGTCATTTATCTAACTCCTTTCAGAGAAAATTTTTTAATTGAAATAACATGACTTCTGGTTTTCATCGAAAGTTCATATAGAGTTAATTGAGGCCTCCTGCCCCTAAGCTTTCCATATCTGGTCTCAGCTTTCATCTATCTAATCCTGTTCTCGAGATTAAGAAGGAACAGACAGGTGGATGATAGTGAGAATATATATGTTTCAAATTGCAGTCCAATTATTTAGTCAACATAAGTCAACATCCTTTTCCAGCACTGGGCATCATTATGGACTACAAGTTGCTGGGGAGGATGAGTGTTTTCATTGCTTGCTCATGTTCTTCATTTCAGGTGACATCATGTCTTGTTTCCTGCAACAATACAAAGGAGGAACTCAGAATCTTCATTATAGCATGTCAGGTGCTGTAGACTCAGTGACATCCTCATAGTCTTGTGATCTTGGGTGAAATTTTTCGGCACCTATTATGCACAGACTTTTTTGAATTGGATGATTGTTTGCACTGTCCCTTTGCTCAAATTTGTAGATGTACTGATTGTGCGAGTTGTAATTTGTCTGCTACTTCTGATTATGTTAGCCACAGCAGTAATTGATGCAGTGGAGATTATTGTGTATGCCTGACCTTGTCTCAGTTTATCCTACATTGACTTGCAGCCCTCTCTGTAATTCTTACACCAATTATTCATCCTAAACAATGTTCACCATACACATGCTTTGTTACTCTGTAGATGTTGCCACTCCTATTCCCTTCAACCAAACTACCACCTGTTGTTTGATTCTGGACATTCCCATCATAACTAACTTAATATTAATCTGCCAATTACTGGAGAGAAAATCTATTCCCAACAATACTTAAAGCATAAGGTGGCCCATCAATTGCTACTTTTCATGATAAAATATGACATGTCCAGTTTCCAACTGGGTGATCCTTCACACACACACATACCGAATGGTGTATCATATGGCATGTAAGTCTGTTGGCATCTGTTATTAAGTTCTTTTAGAAGGGAGTACTTGCATCTTCTATTGATTCTGATGGCTTCATGTAAACAAATCTTCCTTATAACAGGAAGTATTTTGGCACACTCTTTTGGCAGTTTAATTCTATAAATGGAATTAGAGTAGATCCCTAATGCTTGACATCACTGAAGAAAATTCAACTTTTCTGACATTCTACAAATTTGAAAAAGTTTCCTATATGTTTTGGCCAGCACAGCCATATATATTATATAAATAACCTCTATTTAACTGGAGAAACAGATCCAACCTTCCAGGAATATATGCAGTGCCAATAACAAATAACAGAATGGAAAAGCATTTACAATATATAGGGGCCGCTACAAGACCTTCATATCAACACCTCCAAGAGCACATAGCAACAATAAAAAAGAGACAAACAACACTGTTTTCTCCACAGCGTTGGAAGAAGACATGCATACAAATGTACAAGTATATCAAACCAAACTTATACAGCACAGGTAAAAAAAAAACACAAATATGGCATGTGGAAAAAATTGAAATTTACATGGTGGCAAGGGGAAAAATGGTAATCAACTACAAAGACAGCAACTCATTGGCCCAGGCATGGAGAATCTTATATGAGATATAAAAAAATATCACACAGCAAACATGTCATTATAACTAACCAAGCAATAGTAACATATAAGTGCTAAATTTTAAACAGCATGTGAAACTACTGTAAGAATCTGGAATTTAGGAGAAATATTTGTTAAAATTTTAATTTCTTAGAAAAATTATCAGTCTTTGACTTCCTCTGACTCAGGGAGAACACCACTTAGTTCCTCCCAAAATGATAGTTCAAGTACGTTAACCCACTCAAACTATCCACACAACTATTCTATTTCCTTCTCTTGAGAAAGCATGGCGTGGCATCCCAATAATCCAATTGTATGTCAATTTAGTATAAAAGATCAAAGGTCACCTTTAGCTGCTCTAGCTTTCTTTAACCATGTACTAGTTGTGCTATGTATCTTACTCTTAGGTATCAAGGCTTTAGCCATTGTTCCCAGTTTGGCACCCTTACCAAGTGACCAATGGATAAATAGTTGCTCTTGTTTTATTTTGTGCCTAGTTTCCACCAAAACATTCTCTTCGACCAAACAAAGCTACTGTTGAAGTTTCACAGTGCAAGATATTTTAAGGTAATATGACATTTCATATATGTATGAGGGGGGACTAAAAAAAAACTGAACTCAGAGCGCACTGTCATTTGTAGACAAAGTAGAGAGTTCTCCCATTAGATGGGTTTAGTAGAGACCTTCACGAAACAGCTGTGCAGATGGCATCAGTTTGTAGGTTTACGTTTGAGCATAGTGTTGTGTTTCTCTTACTGTTATTTTGTTCTGAGTGCGAAGTTCTGGGCGTCCTTCAACATCTCAAAATGATGAAAATGTTAAAAAAATCCACCAAAAAAGTTTTAAGACGTCTGCGAGAGGATATGCGAAGGAAATGCCCGGAACTTTGGCAATCAGGTGACTGGTTCTTTCATCACGACAATGCCCCCACACACACGGCCTTATGAGTGACCCACTATTTGGCCTCTCAGAGATGGCCTGTCGTTCCCCACCCTCTGTATTCACCAGACCTAGCCCCATGCAACTTTTTTCTGTTTCCAAGAATGAAGAAAAATCTAAAAGGGAAGCATTTTGATGATGTGAAGGAGGTAAAAACAACTTCCCTAAGGGCACTGGATGATATCAAGGTTGAAGAGTTCCAGAGATGCCTCAAACAGTGGGGAAAAAGACTTGACAAGTGCATCGCATCTAATGGAGAGTACTTTGAAGGTGACTATTAACTTTTTTACAAAATTCCTTCAAATAAAGTTTTTATATAAAAAATCTGGTTTTTTTGGGTCCCCCACGTAAACTCTCTCTCAATAGAACTAGAGATTGTAGATTAGTATTCTCATCCAATTAATTTGTTGAATTTATACTTATATTAACTTAGTAATCATTTAGGTACTGTTAAAGTATATACCTATTATGTAACTTATTATTATAATCTCATAGAATAAATATGGTTATATTATAAAATGTCTAAGTTAGTGCCTAACTCTGAGGCTCCAGAAGTAAACCAGAAACACATGAAAAAATTAAATTTTGTTCTCTTGTATGAATGTAGAAAAAAAGTAATAGCATTTTGTAAAGCTGCAAAAAACAATCTAAATGTTCGATCTAGAACCCAAAAAACTATAAAAGTGGCAATTTGAAGAACACAGAATGTGTCTCGACCTGCCTTGGTCATTCTGTACATCATTCTTAAAACAAACGATCCAGCTGCACTTCTCCACCCAACTACATCCTGGGGCCATCAACCTTGAGAAGACAAGAGGACATGAATGCTCAGAGATGGAAAACTTTGTTATTGTAAGCATTTTTTTCTTGTACAATAAACAGAGTTAACTGTTGTAACTGGAGAGTTGTCTCTGTTATCAACACTCCTACCCATGTTTCGACACCACTTGGACATCATGCCGTTACACATGGTTCAGTGACCTCACAACTCCATCGTTACAGTAGATAATACCCTCCTGTAAATTCCAATCAGCAATCAGGTTAGAGAACATCTTCAACCACTCAGAAGTTCATTGAAATTTTTGATGGTGTGTTGTAGTCATCCAAATGAGTGAAAACTACTTGAATGACTACTAGATTCATGAATGTGTCTCTCCAATCTGAAGGTGGGGGATTGGATCTTATCTACTAAGGACTTGAGTCATCCGATTAGAAGACATCCCTTGCATTCTTCATGATCTTTTGAAACAGGAGGAATGCAAAAGGCAAAACCACTAAAGAAGATGAAAGTGGAAGCAGTCTAAGTGCAGAAAAATTTTAGCAAGTGATCATGAAAGTGCACCTGAACGTGTGAATTCTTGATGATGATGACTTAAATAATGCACAAATTAGTGACATACTATCTTACTTATTTTCTTAATTAGTTAATATAAGCTTGAAAAAAATACATAATTTGGTTCAAATAAATTATTAAAAGATATGATAATGAAAAAAATGACAGTAATATATTATTTAATCTGAAATCAAAAACGATCTGTCTGCAGGATGCATCATGACTGTTAAAATAATGGTCGTGCCTGGTTAAAGGTGTGGACGACCAGGCAGAACACACATTTAAGATTAAAATCAAAAAATTTTGATAAATGAGTGGCACTCAAATGAGGTAAAATCAATTAACCATACAGAAATCTGTTCAAATTACAGTTAACAGGTTTGTAGCACTTCATGGCTATTAAATGGAAAACAAAAAAAATATATATATATAATATATATATTTTTTTGTTTTCTGTTTATGTCGTGTCACGCATATGTTTTGTATCGTTCCTTTCCGTTTCCTTCCTCGATACCACCTGTTAGCCGATGGCTGGGTTTTCCGACATCACATTGGTCCGTGACAGGATCACATGAGACAGAGTGACATAGTTGGAGGGAGATATAAAAGCAGATGTAACGGATAAAATAGGACTTTTGGTTTTCCTCTTCGAGAGAGTGCTCTGTGGACGGAAGGAGAGACAATACAGAACTGAGAAGAGAGTCGACTGTCGATAGAGTTCAAGAAGTTGCAGCACGAAAAGAAAATCTGTTTCCATCGAAGCCAACGATTGTACCGTTACGGAAGAAAATTTGCAAGTCCCTTAGATACTCTGTTTCCCAAAATTTATTTGTAAAAATTTTTTTTATCCATCGGATTTATATTACTTGTCAGGCAAAGCAGGGCCTCACGTGAGGAAGGAAATTTGGAAGGGGGAATATAAAGCAAATTTGTTATTGTTAGGCTATCTGTGTCCGGTATTGAACTGTATCTTGGTATTAATATTGTACCACGTTTTTCGACTAAAATAAACTTTTGTTTGTCTAGTTATACGTTTCCACTGACTGTTCATTGTCCTTCCCTTTGTTCTTTTCCTCGTTTGTTTGAAACTGCAGACCACGTGCCTCGCGGAGTTTATAGGTTTAACATACATAATACTGAAATGATACTAATGTCAATTAACACATTTTGCTTCAGAGTTCCTGATTTATACTTCAAATCTAATGCACACTTCATTTCTCAGCTCTCAAAAGGTCAAAAACAGTGCACACCAACATTAATCGTAGAGGGAGTAGTAACCTTGTATCACCACTCAGAGGGATCCTTCCTTTCTATCTCCTCACCATCCTTCTTCCCTTTCCCTCTCCCTCTGCTGGCTAAACACTTTGTCTATGACCATTTTATTTCATTAAATAAAATAAAATATATCTAATGACAAAGTTTAAAAAAGTTTTCTTACCTGTCTAACCTGAGAGCACAAACTATTCCTAATACGTCAACCATATTTTCTTCCCAAAGCTGCTGAATTCCAATACTTGTTGCAATAAAGCATCCTGTTCTCCCTATTCCAGCACTGTAAAAATTAAAAGTAAATAATTTTCATTAATACAATATAATTTACAACAAATTTCATTCTTCTCTGTTTTATGTTTATATTATAACTAAATTTATATATACAGTGCAGTCATAGTTTATGAAACTATCTCATTACTGACTACTTCTTGTAAATAAGGAGATTTCCTATTTATTTATAGGGTCAAAACTTTAATCTTGCTCTCATAACACAATCTCCCTGCCCATGTTTTCCTAATAAAAATACAGTGTTACAAAATGGTTCTAAATGAAATAAATGAACCTTTATAAATACCAGAAAATCCAGCAAAAAATAAAAGTTTAATTATACAAATAAACATTTTGAACAATTTTGAAATTGTAATTTTCAGATTGTAGAATAAATATGGAAAATAGAACTTAAATGCTTTTTAAAAATGTATATGTCCAAGTTTTATTGGATAGAATATATAAATATAATAACTGGCATGATTCCACTGAACAATAGTTTGTAAATAAAAACAAAATTCTTCCTATAATTCAGAAATGGAAAGCATGCCGATTGTTTAATAGGAGAAACTGCCTTGTAAACTGATCCAACTTCTACCGTCCTAAGAAAAGTTAAGAAAATAATATCTCTTCCAACTATTTCTGCTCTATTTCTGCTTCATCCCCTGTCTAATGTAGCTTGCCCCAGGCTCTTTTTTGAAGTTAAAACCCATAAGGAGGGTTGGACATTGAGACCGTTAGTTAATAAAAGGACCCACCCAGCCTTCCATCTTAAAAAGGTGCTGGCCAACTTATTAAGTGGGCTCCTACCTCCTTCTTGTTTGGTTACCTCTTCCTCCGTTGTGGCGAAAGCCCATATATCTTCTGTCCTAAACAACATTTCACAAAATAAGTATAGTTTCTACAAGTTGGATGTAGTTGCTCTTTACCCCTCGGTACTACAGTTTGAGGTGGTTATGCTTGCTAATGCACTACTAATCAAGAAGGGCTTTACAGCGCAAGAAGTTTTAGAGTTACGCAAAGATCTACTTTTCATTTCCGAAAATAATTACTTTCAGTTCAAGGGCAAAGTATATCTACAGCAGCAAGGAGTCCTGATGGGCTCACCACTTTCAGCGGTTTTGGCAAAGTTGATCATGAGGAATATTGAATTCAAGGTTTTTAGCTTTCACCTCTAAGGTATAACAGTTATATCTAAGGTTAACAGCGGATAGCATATCCGCTGTTATACCTTAGATATGTTGATGATATTCTAGTAGCTTTGCAGGATACCCATGAAGATTTCCTCGCCCTCAAAGATTTTCTTGCGACCATTTATCCCACAATTAATTTTACCTGGGAAAAAGACAATGAAAGGAAAATCGCATTTTTGGATCTAAAAATTACTAAGCCCCGGGATACTATAGTGTACTCCATATTCCACAAATTCAGTGGTGTTCCTCCCCTAATCCCTGCTACAGCATACCAGCAGCAACATTACATCAATGCGGCAATTGCCCTTTAATCAGAAGGGCCTTTCTGTTATCTTCCAGCCAGGCAGCTATCGATACTGAGCTTAATGCTATTCGCTCTGTGGTAAATGAGACGAGCTATACTAATACCAAGTTTATGTACATCTTAAATAAGGTAAAAAGATTGCTTTTTCCTGCTACTACACTACAGTTCCCAAAAGAATCCACAATAGTCCTTCCTGTGCTACTGTTTTGTGATCATGTCACTGTCCGTATTTGCCATATTTTTAGGTGATATGTGCTTTTTCTGCCAGTTTCTCTATGGCCAAGTCTCAGGAGGTTGCTATCCAATGACACAGATCCTACTTCCACACTAGAAAGATCAGGGGTTTATTCTATCCCACTGGAAAATATGTCAGGTGGTCACACCCACTATATTGGCACAACAACCAGAATGTTGTCTTATTGTATTTCGGAACATCAGTGTTCTATCAGGGCAGGCAAGAGTTAAACTGAGCTCACTAGAATGGTGTTGCAACACCAACACACCCCGTTGTGGGGCCAGGTGGTCATACTAAGACATTGTAATAACAGAAGCCTCGTGTATATTTGGGAGGCCCTCAAAACTTCCAAGAACGTCAGTCTATGAGGCGTTAAATATACTTGAAATTATTTTTAATTTACGAGCGCTTTCGACGTAAATAAGCACGTCGTCTTCAGGTAAAATTAAATTTGAATAAAGAATTCGAACCATACATTTAAATTTAAAACATTAACGATACTAGCCGTTTTTTGAACATACAAAAAAGAGATTTTAAATTTAAATATTTAGAATTAAACATTTAAAATTGGTGTGCATGCGTTTTAAAACAAATAAACATCGATTGGAGTGGCTATTAATTATTATGTGAACGCGAAAAATTGGCGCACGTGCACCTTAACATGCATAACATGAGAGCCAATTAGATGTCTATTAAGAACAATTAAATTTTTAGAATTTAAATTAAAACACTTTGTAAATACGTATAAAATTTTTGGCACGCATGCGCCTTAACATAGACAGCATAGAAACCGATCGGAATAGATCCACAAGTGCAAGTTTATGTTAAAATTTAAATTTTAAATATTAAAGCGCGGGACATAATTTAAAATACATAACACACGTAAAAAGACGCACATAAAGGGGCCGACATGTATGTGCTTTGAATCATGTAGGAGGTGCGGGAAGAGAATGCAAAATTATTGTTGGTTTTTTAACCGCCTGAATAAATTAATCCAGACGTCCGGTAAATCGAGGGTAGGGGTGTTGCACGGGGAGAGCAGTTTTGTGAGGAGGGCCTCCCAAATGTATATCAAGTTCCCTTCATCACAGCGTTTGAGTATTTCCACTCGATTCCAAAGCGCTACGTGGTGGTGTTGTATCACCAATTTGGAAAGTTCCGTGTCACAATTGCCAAGTGCCACCGAACGTTGGTGTTCAGATATGCGAGCAGCCAGCATTCTCGTAGTCGCTCCTATATAATTGGTGCATAGTCCTGATATTGGATTCTGCAGGGGAACGGAGTATACACCAGATTTTTCCAGGGTG